GGATGTTGCTCAGTGGTGGAGTGCTTGCCCATGAAGCCCTGGGTTCGATCTCCAGCAACACACACACACACACACACACACACACACACACACACACACACACACACACGGCTAGAGATGTAGCTTAATGGTAAAATACCCCTGTGTTCAATCCCCACTACTGCAAAAAAAATTAATTTAAAAAACTCCTTTCCTAGGAAAGCATGATGCATTCTTGTAACCCCAGGTACTCCAAGGCTGAGGCAGAAGGATTGCAAGCTCCAGGCCAGCTGGGCAACTTAGTGAGACCTCATCTCAAAATTTAAAAAGGAAATCTGGGGTTTTAGCTCAGTCAGTGGTGGAGCACTTGCCTCATATGTATGAGGCACTGGGTCAATCCTCAGCACCACATAAAAAATAAATTAATTAAATAAAAGTATTATGTCCCTCTATATCTAAAAATGTTTAAAAAATTTAAAAGGGCTGGGGATGTAGCTCAGTGATAGAACACTTGCCTAGCATGTGTGAGACTCTGGGATCAATATCCAATACCATTTTTAAAAAGCTGCTTTCCTGCCTTCACTATTGTTTGTCTTTTCAATTGGTATCTTGAGATATGTGACTGAGCCTAGTCTGTTGGGACCCCCAGAGCCAGGGCCTTCTTCCTAAAACTCTGGTAACATTATTGGTGAAAGAATAGATGAATAGATCAATGTAACATGGTAAAGAGCCCCAAAATAGGCCCACACAAATATACCCAACTGATCTTTGACAAAAAAGCAAGAGCAAGCCAGGCACAGTGGTGCATACCTGTAATTCCAGTGACTCAGGAGAGTGAGGTAGGAGGATCACAAGCTCGAGGCAAGCTTCAGCAACTCAGTGAGGCCCTAAGAAATTTAGTGAGACTGTGTTTCAAAATAAAAAAAATATTATAAGATCTGAAGATGTAGCTCAGTGGCAAAGTGTCCCTGGGTTCAATCCCCAGTGCCAAAAAAGAAAAAGAAAACAGAAAAGCAATGAAGAAATAATGAGTTTTTGTTTGTTTTGCCATGCTTGGGATGACCAAACCCAGGGCCTTGCCCATACTAGGCAAATGCTATACCACTGAGCTACATGCTTAGCTGAGAAATAATAGTCTTTTCAACAAATTATGCTGGAACAACGTAATATGCAAAAATTAAAAAAGAATCTAGCTCAGACATTATACATTTCATAATGATTAACTCAAAAATGGATTTTTAGGGCTGGAGATATAGCTCAGTTGGTAGAGTGCTTGCCTCATATGCACAAGGCCCTGGGTCAATCCCCAGCACCACCACACACACACACACACACACAAAAAAAAAAAACGGATCATAGACCTGTGTGTATAAAACTTCTAGAAGGTAATATAGGAGAAAATCATGTGATCTTGAGCTTGGCAATGACTTTTTTAAATACAACACCAAAACTATGATCCACAAAAGGAGAATTTGATAAATGAGACTTTATTAAAATTGAAAACTTCATGCCAGGTGTGATAGCACATGCCCATATCCCAGTGACTTGGAAGGCTGAGGCAGAAGGATCACAAATTCAAGGCCAGCCTCAGCAACATAGCAAGATCCTGTCTCAAAATAAAAACAAAAAGGATTGGAAATGTGGCAGTGGTAAAGCACCCTGGGTTCAATCCCTGGCATCAATAAAAAAAATAAATAAAAAGAAAGCTTCTGCTTTGTGAAAGACAGTATTAATAAAATGAAGCAATAAGGCACAGACTATGAGAAATGTTTGTAAAACATTTATGCGACAAAAGTCTTATACCCAAAATATATTAAAAAAAATCTCTTAAGGGCTTGGCATGTGGCTCATTGGTAGAGTGCTTGCCTAGCATGCACAAGGCCCTGGGTTTAATCTCTAGCATTGCCTAAAAATTTAAAAATTAAGAACTCTTAGCACTTGCCTAGAATGTGTGAGGTACTAGGTTCAATTCTCAGCACAACATATAAATAAATTAATTAAATAAAGGTCAACAACAACTAAAATAATATTTTAAAAAACCTCATCAATAAGAAGGTAAACAAACTGTGTCTTTTCCTTTAATTGAATAAATTTGAGGGGGTAAAAAACAATTAAATCTGGGTGCAGTAGAACATGCCTATAATCCCAGTGATTTGGAAGGCTGAGGCAGGAGGATTTTGAGTTCAAAGACAGCCTCAGCAGCTTAGCAAGATCTTGTCTCTAAATAAAATATAAGAAAGAGCTGAGGATGTGGCTCAGGGGTTAAGCATCCCTGAGTTCAATCCCCAGTACCAAGAAAATAATAATAATTAAGAAATGAGCAAACCTGGCATACACAAGGCCCTAGATTTATCCCTGATACTACAAACAGCATGCGCGCGTGCGCGCGCACACACACACACACACACACACACACACACACACAAATAAGCAAAAGATCTGAACAGATATCTCACCAAAGAAGACATTCAGATAGCAAATAAGCATGTAAAAATGTGCTCAATATTATATACTATATCATTAGAAAATTTCAAATTAAAACAATAAGATATAGTTGGGTATGGTGGCATATGCTTACAATACCAGCCGCTTGGAAGGATGAGGCAAGAGGATCATAAATTCAAGGCCAGTCTCCAAAACTTGAAATAAAATTTAAAGAGAGCTGGAGAGGTAGCTCAGTGGTAGAGCAGTTTCCAGCATATATGAGGCCCTGGGTTCCATCCCCAATACTGAAAAACATTTTAAAAAGGTACAACTTTAGGGCAGTTAAAATCCAGAATACCAACTACACAAAATGCTCATGAGGATATTCAGGAACAGGAACTCTCATTTGTGGTTGGAAGGGATTCAAAATGCTGCAAACCCCTGGAAGACAGTTTGGCAATACTCTTACAAAAGTAAACAAAATCTTACCATAGGGCTGAGGATATAGCTCAGTTGGTAGAGTGCTTATATAGCACGCACCAAGCCCTGGGTTCAATCCCCAGCACCAAAATAAATAAACAAACAAATAAATAAATACAATCTTACCATATAACTCAGCAATTATGCTCCTACTTATGTAACCAGTTAAGTTGAAAACTTAGGTCCACACAAAAACACGCACATGAATTATCAGAGAAGTTTTATTCATAAATCTCCAAAACCTAGAAACAACCAAGAAGCTCTTCAATATGGGAATGGATAAACAAACTGTGGTACATATATACCATGGAGTATTATTCAGTGGTAAGAAGAAATGAACTATCAGATCACAAAAACATATGAAGGAACCTTAAATATAAATTACTAAGTGAAGGAACCCAGTCTTAGGGGCAGGAAGGAAAGGGAGGGAGCAGGGGATTAGCAAGGATGATGGAATGTGATAGACATCATTATCCAAAGTACATGTATGAAGACACAAATTGGTGTCAACATACCTTATATACACCAGGGATATGAAAAATTGTGATGTATATATGTTATAAGAATTGTAATGCATTCCACTGTCATTTATTTTTTAAAAAATCAATAAACAACAACAACAAAAAAGAACCCAGTCTGAGAATGCTAAATAGTATATAGTTCCAACTACATTGACATTTTAGAAAAGGTAAAAACTACAGACAACTAGGTACGGTGGTGCATGCCTGTAATCCCAGTGGCTCGGGAGGCTGAGGTAGAAGGATCAAGAATTCAAAGTCAGCCTCAGCAAAAGCTGGGTGCTAAGCAACTCAGTGAGACCCTGTCTCTAAATAACATACAAAATAGGGCTGGGGATGGGGCTCAGTGGTCGAGTGCCCCTGAGTTCAATCCCCCGTACACACACACACACACACACACAAAAAAAAAAAACTATAGACAAACAAATAATCTGACCCAGTGTGATGGTGCACACCTATAATCCCAGTGATTTGAGAGGCTAAGTGAAGAGGATTATGAGTTCAAGGGCAGCCTCAGAAACTTACTGAGCTTAGTGAGACCCTAAACAACATAGTAAATTCCCTGTCTCAAAATTTAAAAAGTAAAAACGGCTGGGGATATAGCCCCTGTACCAAATCATCATCATCATCATCATCATCACTACCACCACCACCACCACCATCATTATCATCATCATCTGTAATTGCCAGAAGAGATTTGGGCAGAAGGAGGAAAAGCTGAAGCACCGGTGAAACTGCTTATATGAAACTGGAGTGCTGGGCTGGGTTTGTGGCTCAGTGGCAGAACGCTTGCCTCACACATGTGAGACACTGGGTTCAATCCTCAGCAACACATGAAAATAAATAAACAAAATAATGATATTGTGTCCACACATAACTAAAAAAATTTTAAAAAAAGAAACTGGAATGCTGGATATAGGTCATTAACCTTTTTTTTTTTTTTTTTGGTTCCAGGAATTGAACTCAGGGCCACTTGACCACTGAGCCACATCCCCAGCCCCATTTTGTATTTTACTTAGAGATAGGGTCTCAGGGTTGCTTAACACCTCACTTTTGCTGAGGCTGGCTTTGAACTAGTGATCCTCCTGCCTCAGCCTCCCAAGCCCCTGGGATTACAAGCATGCACCACTGTACCCAGCCTTTTATAACATTCTTGAAATGGCACAATTATTTATTGTATTAGGAGACAGTTCAGTAGTTGCCAGAGGTTAAGGAGGGAGTGGGGATGGGAGGGGAGTGGTCACGGCTATTAAAGAGTAACATGAGATATCCTTGTAGGATGGATGACAATATCCTGGTAATGATCTTGTACCAAAGTTTAATAAGATGTTACCATTAGGGGAAACTAGGTAAACAGTACATTGCATTTGAATCTATAATTATTTCAAAATAAAAACAAACTAGAGAAATAATGAAAGAAAATAGCAAATAGAAAAAAGTAGGGGCTGGGGATGTGGCTCAAGCAGTAGCGCGCTCGCCTGGCATGCGTGCGGCCCGGGTTCGATCCTCAGCACCACATACCAACAAAGATGTTGTGTCCGCCAAAAACTAAAAAATAAATATTAAAAAAGAAAAAAAAAGTAGGCTCCTCCTCCTTACCTCAAATGGTCTTCCAGGTTCTCCTGGAATCTGTGTAGGGAACCTCTGTGGTGATTTCCCATTAGCTGGCATGTTCATCCTGGACCTCAGTCCCCCTTCCAAAGCTGGGGAGATGTCCATATGCAGACAATTCTGCAGCCTCCAGTAAGGTATAAGGCTCAATGGCTCCACAGAGACATCAAGAAATCCTAAAAGGGACAGTATCCATGTCATCAGTGTTGTTCCACATTCATCCCACAAAATTCAACAACCTCTATTCTGAGTATTATTCAGCATGGATTATGAAAATGATAATGAAATCTGGGATCAAATTAATGGACTTGGAGTCCCTTATCCTTGAGTGGCTCCACAGGGTGCTTCACACTCTACAAGCCGGCCTACTCTTCTATTCCAGATCTGGGTTTGAAGGGAGGGTAGAAGTGGGGCAGAGAATGGTGAAGCTCCAAAGGGTAGGTAGAGAAGGGACTTGTTCCTGGGGACCTGGTAGGTGACTGAAGACAGGAGACTTAGCAATCTCAGTGAAAATGAATGGGTAGTTTCTTCTGCCACTTTTTATTATTTTTCCATTTTAACATTTAAAATTTTTCTCCCTCTATTTTTTTTTTTTTTTGTACCGTGGGTTGAACTCAAGGGGAATTCGACCAATTGACTCACATTCCCAGCCCTTTTTTGCATTTTATTCAGAGACAGGGTCTCACTGAGTTGCTTAGCGACTTGCCACTGCTGAGCCTGGCTTTGAACTCCTGATCCCTCTGCTTCAGCCTCCCAAACGGCTGGGATTACAGGTGCATCCCCAGATTTTTTTTTTTTTTTTTTGAGATAAGGTCTTGCTAAATTGCTGAGGTTGGCCTCAAATTTGAAATCCTCCTGCCTCAGCCCCCCATATTACTAGGATTCCAGGTGTGCATCACCACACCAACTGGAAAAAATGTTTGAAAAACTCTCTTAAAAATTCTTCTACAGGAGAGTTTGAGTCTCTCCTTTCCAGAAGATGGTAAACATTAATACTGTTATTTATTACATCAGCAAATTAGGGGTGACATGCTGCTGCTAATTTATACCCCAAAGGCATCTAACACAGTTCAACAACCATTACTAATAAAAGCTCAGACTAAAATTAGAGAAGAAGAAAATAAGTTAAATATCACAGAAATTACTTATGAAATTGAAACATAGCCCTGAAATATTATACCAAAAAGTAAATGGAACTATTGCCATTGAAATTAGTAAAAAAGGGCTGAAGGTGTAGAATGCATGCTTAGCATATGTGAGACCCTGGGTTCCACTCCTGCATCACAAAAAAAAAAAAGAGGTAATCCCAGCAACTAAGGAGACTGAGGCAGGAGGATCACAAGCAGGAGGTCAGCCTCAGCAACTTAGAACTTGTCTCAAAATAAAAAATAAAAGAGGCTGGGGATGTAGCTCAGTGGTAAAGCACCATGGAATTCAATCCCTAGGACACACACACACACACACACACACACACACACACACAAAGATAGACTCCTGCTATGTCTCAAAAATTGTTTTGTGAGCTCTAGATGAAATAGAGTAAATATTGAGAAGAAATGAAAATGTAGCTTTCTTTGCCAGTGATTTGATTTTATACATACAAAACTTACCAGACTGCTAAAGGGTTACTAGGATTCACAAGGTACAGTGAAAAGGGGCTGGATTCGAGATAAAATGATAACAGCAGATACTTTTTCCCTATAATAGCAATGAGCAAATGGAAATGGGAAAAAAATCTATTAATAATTATAATAGCAGGAAACATATATAACATCTAAGAATAAACTTGTTAGAGGAGTTGGGCCTATACAATTAAAATGGTTTAGAAATCTGGACAAATATGGCTGCACATCTGTAATCCCAGAGATGGGGGAGACTGAGGCAGGAAGATCAAAATTTTAAGGCCAGTATCTACAAGGTGGTGAGGCTGTAGCTCAAAATTTAAATAAAATAAAATTAAAATTAAAAGGGCTGGGGACGTAGCTCAGTGGTAAAGCGCCCTGGGTTCAATCTCCAGGAAGAGAAAAAACAATTTTAAAAAATGATGCTTCAAGGGAGCTGAAAGCAGACTACCCCAGAGGCTCCTAACCTTGACCCCCACAGACTCTCATTCACTGGGTTCTTTAATTCACCAGCAACTGGCACACAAAAACCTTCCAATTTATCCTTCCCAAAATACAACAAAGCCATCACCTCAAAACCACCTGAGAGACTGTCACGCCATATACCCTCATGCACTGGCTTTAGTGCCGCGCGCCGAGACTTAAATGGCCTCTGAGGACCATTTCCGTTTCCTGTCCTCACCCCAGACACTGCACCTTCTAGGACTGTTGGTTTTGCACCCAATCATAAGGGCTGAGAGGTTGCAGTCTACTCACACTTGAACAAGGTGTTGTTACGGATCGGCAGAGACTTTGGCCATGAATGGCGTTATCAGGAGATCAACATGGCCGCGCTAGGGCTTCTCTCCATGAGAGCCGCCATATTTGCGCCCAATTCCGTACAGCGGGCTGTTCCGTAGAAGGCGGGATCAACGGGGGTGTTCAGGTGTAGAAGCCTGGCGAAGGCAAGCTTCCGGTAGACGCTGGACTTTGGAAATGGATTCTGTAGATCGGTACAAAGTTTAGCAAAACAAAGTTGCCTTTCCTTCCGGGAGCATAGGGAGGTGTACCCTTAGCTCTCAAGTAGATACATTGAGCAAGAGGGGAAAGGACTCAGGATGGTACAATCCTCTTCTTGGCGCTACCACTGGGATGAGGAGGAGCAGTCAGGTTAAAGCAGTACAGGTTCCCTCATGGGCGATACCATTGGAGAAGACGGGGGGGGGGAAGAATTAGGCTGGTAAGTCTCCTCTTAATGTGCCACAATTGCCATAGAGGGGACTTGAATCCCCCTCAATTTCCATTATCCAGATAAGAGGATGGTAGCCAGGAATAATAAAAATAATAGTCTTCCACATGAACAACTAAGGGTTTTCAACAAACTCTCAATAGAAAAATGTTTAGAAAACGTTATAAGGATACTTTTGGTGAAATGTACCTCCAAGGACATATCTCCTCCTCTTGCTGACAACAAGATACAGCTGATTAGCATCTCCTGTATGTAAATTCAGAAGCTGCTAGTGAATTATGGATGTTCTTTATATGTGAACTCCTACACATTTTTCCAAACCTAGTCCAAATATATACTCCTCCAGGAAGCCTTCCCTGATTAGAGGTAGGGGGATATTTTCCCTGCTGAAGTTGTTTCAGAACCAGCAGGTAGGTTATGGCTTAGCTTGGGTATGGATAACTAGCACCCTAAAGATATCTAAATCCTCTCTCTGGGCCGTAGCTCATCATTACCCCCACTTTCTTTGTCCATCTTGCAGTATTGGTGAGTTGAAAGAAAGACAATGACATCTGTGAGAATACTGCTATAAGGCATACACTTCTACAAAAATTCCCCAAATTCATCATTGTTGTGACTTCTCCTCAACATCTCAAACCCTGGACTCTGTTAACTCATCCACCACCAATGCCTCTGTAAACAGATCTTAAACATGGATCAGGCTAGGTGCAGTGGCACACACCTGTAATCCCAGAGGCTCCGGAGGCTTAAGGAGGAGGATAGTGAGTTTAAAGCCAGCCTCAGCAAATTAGCAAGACCCTAAGCAACTCAGAGAGACCCTGTCTCAAAATAAAGTATTTTTAAAAAGGGGAGGGATGTGGCTTAGTGGTTAAGTGCCCTGGGTCCAATCCCCAGTACAAGAAAAAAAATGTAGTAACTCCCCAACACCTATGCCTATCAATGATTCCTGCATTTTCATTTTGAATCCAAACTTCTCTCTTTGTGTGTGTGTGTGTGTGTGTGTGTGTCAGGATTGAATTCATAAGCACTCTACCACTAAGCCATGCCCCCAGGCCATTTTATTGGCCACAAATTGTGATCCTCCTGCCTTAGTCTCCTGAGTTGCTGGGATTACAGGCTTGTACCACTGTAACAAGCCAAATCCAAGCTTCTTGTTATGGTTTGAATCTGGAATGACCATCCAAATTTGCATGTGCTCAGAAGTGAAGCTTTGGGAGAATAACAAGATTGTGAGAGTTCTGACCTCAATTGTGGATTAATCCATTGATGGCTGAATGGACTACTGTGAAGTGGAAACTAGTTGAAGGAATCAGGTCACTTGGGTCGTGCCCTGGTCACCCCTGAAACCTTTGTACCTGTGAGCCAAAATATATCTTTCCTCCTCTAAGTTGTTTTCTAAATATTTGCCAAAGTAACAAAAGGCTGACTACCATACTTCTGCTTGCTAACTCTTCTTTTATAAATTGAGGGACTGGATATCTATTAGTTTTCCACTAACAATCCCTCTCAAAGCCTCTGTGTTCTAAATCTCAACTATGGAGCCAGGGTTAATTCTTCTACCATCAAAGTCCTTCTGATTAGATATCCAAACCCATCACTTTAACAAATGCCTGAGTTAAAGTTCAAACCAGAGGGACAATGATGTTTTTAAACTCACAGAAGCTCAGGGTAAGGAACTGGCCCAGAGAGCCATTAACAGTAAAAATGTATTCATACTAGAAGACTTCTTACAGGCCTATGTTTGCTACCTATGAAACAAGATGGTTTCTGGAAAAATCATTAACAGAAACTTTTAGACAAAACCAGAGAGACTGATGATGGAAAAATTAATATTTTCTTTTCTTTTTTGGTACTGGGAATTGAACCCAGGGGCACTCAACCACTGAGCCATATCCCCAGCCCTATTTTGTATTTTATTTAGAGACAGGGTCTTACTGAGTTGCTTAGTACCTCTCTGTTGCTGAGGCTGGCTTTGAACTTGTGATCCTTCTATCCTAGCCTCCCGAGTCACTGGGATTACAGGTGTGTGCCAAGGCACCTGGTGAAAAATTAATATTTTCTTAGAATATAGACTTGACATAGTTAATGGAGGTCCCAGGTCTCAAGGTCAGAAATTATGATACATCAGCCTAGGTCTGTATCTCTCTTTCTCTCTCTCTCATATCCCCATTCCAGAGTAAACCAGCCACTATGTCATAAGGCCATTCAGATGGCTTTTTTATTCTGTGGTAGGGATATAACCTAAGGCTCTGTGTATGCTAAGCAAGCGTTCTGCCACCAAACTACATTCCCAGACCTCAAACGGCCTTTGGAGAGGCCCTTGTACCAAGCATTCCTGTTAATAGCCAGTAAGGAACTGAGGCCCTTAGCCAACAGCATTTTTTTTATAACAGCGACTGAACCCAGGGGCCCTTAACCACTGAGCAACAGCCCCAGTCTTTTTCATTTTTTTGAGACAGAGTCTCTCTGAGTTGCTTAGGGTCTTGCTAAGTTGCTGAGGCTGGCTTTGAACTTTTGGTCCTCCTGTCTCAGTCTCCACACCCAGCCACCAATAGCTAGTCAAATAAAGCAGCTTAGAAGTAAAAAACATTATGAGAGATCCTAAGACAGAACCACCCAGGTAAGCCAAATTCTTTATACCACAAAAACTGAGATAATAATATTTGTTGTTTTAAGCTTCTATGTTTGGGGATTGTTTGTTATGCAGCAATAGATAGCTAGTATAGGTATTTGTTTCATTAAAGTCTTAGTATTTTGTTCATTAAGAATTTATTGCTGGGGCTGAGGTTGTGGCTCAGTGGTAGAGTACTCGCCTGGCACTTGTAAGGTGCTTGATTCGATCCTCAACGCCATATATAAATAAATAAAATAAATGTATAAATAAAATAAAGGACTGGGGATGTAGCTCAGTGGTAAAGCACCCCTGAATTCAATCCCCAGTACCAAAAAGAGAATTATTATAAAAGAATTTACTGCATTAATTTTGACTTTTGAAAATATTGCTTCAAATATCTTTAAATTTTGCACTCATAAATTCACTTTCCTCTCTCTAGTCTTAGTGAGCCTTGCACAGGACACTTGCTCTCTAAAATCACAGACTATATATTGTCCTGTGTGAAATGATTGGTAAAAATAAAAAATCCCACTCTTGCCTGGAGGATTTAACCCACTTTGATATAGAGAAACAGCCTTGATTTTCAACCCAGGTACAGAGCTTCTGATAATAGATAACTGAAGCCAATATTTCATTTCTGGCTTTACTTTGGTATTTCTTTTTTCTTTCTTTCTTTTTTTTTGTACCAGGGATTGAACCCAGGGGCACTTGACCACTGAGCCACATCCCCAGCCCTATTTTGTATTTTATTTAGAGACAGGGTCTCACTAAGTTGCTTAGTGCCTCACCATTGCTGAGGCTGGCTTTGAATTTGGAATCCTCCTGTCTCAGCCTCTTGAGCTACTGGGATTACAGGTATGTGCCACCATGCCTGGCTACTTTGGTATTTCTAAAGAGAAGTGACCTTGAGTCTACTTCACATCCTAGACCTGATGTTGACACTTTTACATACCAAACTGTTTTACTTTGGGCTCATTGAAAATATTGCTTCAGTTAAATGTTACCTAAACTCTATATCTGCTTAATGCACTCCTACACTCTATAGTAATCCCATTTCTTTTTTGGTGACACTAAGGTATGAACCATCTCTATTTGCCTAGGACTGAGGGGTTTACTTGGACAAGGTCAGTTTCAATGCTAAAAACAGGAAAGTCTTGGGCAAACTGGAAAAAAATTAGTCATCCTAGATGAGACATCCCACAGTTTTGTGAGGTTTGGTCTCCCTTGCTGCAGCAGACTAATAAGCCCATTTTATTTATTGTATGTATGTGACCCTGGTGGTATCAAGGTCATTAATGTTGGAAAAAACTCACAAAGGTCAACATTTTTTTGTCATTGTCTTTTTTTTATGTGTGTGTGGTATCTGGGATTGAACTGAGGGGTATTCTACCACTGAGCTACATCCCCAACCTTTTTTATTTTATATTGAGACAGGATCTCACTAAGTTGCTTAGGTTCTAAGTTGCTGAGGTTGGCCTTGAATTTGCAATCCTCCTACCTCAGCCTCCCAAGTAGCTAGGATTACAGGTATGTGCCACTGACCTCATTTTTATTATTATTATGATTATTTCAGTTTTTCTTTTATGAGTTTATTTTTAAATATATACTGAGGATTGAACCCTGGCAATAGAGGTCAATTTTGAGATCACTCCTGGTATACATTGATGGTGGAAAAATTAACACATCTGGATCTGATTCTGTATTAGAGAGACATTGGTGAGGGAATAGTTAATTGAAAGTTGAGTGCTAAGTCATACCAGAAATTATGTGATGGTAGAAATGTTATCGGAGCAGTTCTAGATTTGAGGTCAGACTAAAGCAACATGGGATTTAAAGTTGGTCCAAAGGTGGTAGAAATGTTAACAGGGACCCAGATTTTAGATTTTGACAAGGAAGTCATTGATAGTGGATTAGGTAATAAATGGTCAAGTTCAAGGGCTAACCAGGTGAGCAGAGGTTATGCAAGAGTTAATAGAAACCAGCAATTTGAGATCTGATGTCTAGACCCTAAAGGGTTGAGGACAGATGATGCAGTTGGCCAATGGCTGTGTATGGGAGGTGGGATCTGGTTTCTGGTTTCTGGTGGCCAATGAGATGAAACAGCAGTCTGTTACTAGGGAGAAGCCCCTGTTGCTATGTGGAGGGGCCTGAGTTGCTACAAATAGCCAATGACTGCAGAAGTTGGGCTTCATTCTCTTCAGCCTATAGTAGGTAATGGCTGGCTATTAGTAGAAACTAACCCCTGTTGCCATGTGAAGTGAGGCAG